AGGGGGGGGGGGGGGTTGAGTGCCAGTGCTGGGGAGAATCCTGAGCCTTGGGAGCCAGATCCAGGCATGCCAGGGGCCAGAATTTGGCACCCATGTCTGAGCTTTGCCACCCCTGATTTAAATAGTTAGGAAAGGACAGTCTTTTCTTTAGAAAAGTAGAATTTAAAAGCATTAACAGTTACATCAACTTAACATTAGGGCTGAAAGTAGCAAAAGGAATACATGTTTCCTGAATGATTTATGACATTAAATACCTTCAACTGCCCATTTGCAAAGAAACAGTTGCACATCTGTACTATTTCAAATATGGCCTATGTTAACGTTGTCGCAGGAGCCTTCTCTTCTGCATTTCCTGGCTTTTAACTATCTGACTTCATCTTTATACTACAACATTTAATGCAGCGTTGTGTATGGAATGACTATGTACAAATGGCAAAATATACTGTTTTGCTTGTGCTACTGTTCACAGAACTATTCTGTTTATGTTAAGTTGCTATTAAATGTTTTATAAGTTTGAAAATGCTCACTTGCACAGCTTCAAGCTGTTCACTGTGGAATTATTTATTTAAAAATTGCTTACATTAATCTTGTGGGAATTTACACTATGAAGTCATATTTTATGAGTATGCACTCTGTCCACTGTATGGCTTTATATAAAGTTAGGTAATAGCAGCTAGATAATAATGGTGTATAATATACATAAAGTTGACTCAATAAATCACTTATACAAATCAAGAGTGGCATAACTGCATTTCTGCCTGTGGAAAGCAGTCAGTGTTTGCTACTATATCTCTTGCCAGTGTTTTGATGCAATTATTTTTTGGAAAATCATGGCAGTTGTCAAACTTATGTTCTGAAGCAACTCTCATCACGAAGCCAACTGCACAGTTTATTTATTGCTTCAACTTAAGTGACTTCACTAGACAATAACTCCAACTAAAAGATGTCTATTTTCTCTCTCCCAGCATTCTCTGAAACAGCATTTAAAATGGAAACACATAATTATAGGTATTTGAAAGAATGTGCAAGTGATATCAATGAGAGAAACTAAAGAAAAATTGAGTTTCTTACATTAACAATTATATTCTCAGCTTCACTTTCAATGGAGAATGAAAAGCAGATGAAAACATTTCATTCATTCTGAACTGTTTCAGGAGAGATTAAATCTTTTGTAACTGACTCATTGCCTATAATGGTAAGTGTTATGGGGACCAATGGGAAACCCCAAGGCACCGCATATGTAGAATTTTCTCCAATGCCTTTTGTATGTAAATTAAATGTGTAACTGCTGAATTTTTCAGTGGTTTCACGTATACAATGCAGAGGGGTCAGGCGGGAGCATAGACTCCCACTTGCCCCCCGCTGCCACCTCTGATGCAGTGGGGCAGGAGGGGAGTGGTTCTGCAGGAGCTGTTACGTGCAGGGAGCAAGCTTGAAAGACAGCTTCCTGTGTGTACTGGCTCCCACCTGCCCCCCTCACCTGCAATGATACTGGGGCTCTGTGGGAGGCAGTAGGAGGGAGGGGGAAAGAGGTGGCTCCACAGGAGCCAGTACATGTGGGGAGCTGGCTTAAAAGCCAGCTTCCCACAGGTACCGGCTCCCAGACTTATTGGTTAATAATGTAAATGACTACATGCTAGCATCTCTAGTGGGAATGTGAGAAAATATCCTTTCTGATACTGAAAGCTACTACAGGTAAAGTCTTATTTAATCCTCAAATCAAATGGTTTAACAACCGCAACAGCATCAGATACCCCAAAATCTGCACCCTAGCTTGGCAGAACTACTGTAATGCCATATCTATCTTACGAGAATAGATCATATTTAATAATTGGTTAACTAATATGTTAAATATTAGGACATATAGGTTATAACATTTCAAAACCCATTAATTTGTCAGTCATCATCCCTACGGTAGAGACATGTCAAAACATGATAGAAGATGCCTACAATATGAAAACAGGTCATACTCAAAAACCACATTAACTCAGAATGAGAAATGCCCGTTTCTAAATCACATCAATTCAACGGTCTTCATAATTTTAATTTCATTCTCTTCTAGAGCAAACCAAGCAACAAAGTTCCCAAATCACAATTCTTACCGTCTCTGTTTCTCTCAGAGATCTAGAATGTCCCCCTTTAGTTAAAACATCCAGCAAACTATCAGCCATAACATATGGGTAATCTTGAGACTTTGCCAAATAATCATGAATACTGAAAGGGAATTACAATGAAATCAATCTCACATCAAGCATAAATGACAGGAATAAAAACAACCTGTAAATGGTCAGTATGTTAAACCACTGTACTGAGTTTTGAAAATGCTGGTATTAGACTGGTATTAAAGGGATTCAATTTAACAGATTTATTTTTTTGTTTATAAATGGCCAAGGCTGTAGTAGCCTGTGGAATATCTTAGATTCCCAGCATAGTCTACAGTGCATCCAGATCTCAAACTGCAATTAATTTGGCATGTTTGATATTCATTAATGCTATTAGACTTGCTTAAATAACTTATTTAAAGTGAGTTACACATCATGGAGTATTAACAAGACTTACAGCCATTTTGCTCAGGATAGTAAATCTGTTTCAAATATAATATAGTGTCTAAAATGATAATCAGAAGTTTGTGGTGCAAGGAGATGGTCCATTGTTACCCTCGCTATTTGTGAGCCAACATTAGACACTACAGGTTGGACCTCCCTGGTCTGGGACCCTTGAGACCAGATGAGGGATTCTTCTGGACCAGGGGAGGTTATTTCAGACCTCCCTGATGCCCCTCTCCCTGTTTCCTGGCTCCCCTCGCATCCCAGCTGAGCTACGTGCCAGCTTCTGTCCCCTCCCCAGCCTAACTGAGCCATGCACCGGCTCCTGGCGCTCCCCTCCAGCCCAACTAAGCTACTCGTCCTCTCCTGCAACCCAGCTGAGCTGCGTTTAGGCTTCCTCCTCCCCTCCAGCCAAACCACATACCTGCTCCATCCCCTCCCCCTTTGCAACCCAGCTGAGCTGCGTGCCTGCCTCTCCTCCTCCCCCCCCCGTGCAGCCCAGCCGAGCTGCCCC